TCCTCCTCCTCCTCCTCCTCGTCTTCCTCCTTCTCCTCCTCCTCCTCCTCCTCCTTAGCCTCCTCCTCCTCCTCCTCCTCCTCCTCCTCCTCCTCCTCCCCCTCCTCCTCGTCGACAGGCGCGGCGGCAGCCGGGGCGGGCGGCGGCGCAGCCAGAGCCACAGCGGCCGCAGCTTCGGACCGAGGAGGCGAGGCCCACCCTTTGCGAAGGGTCGCCGGCCACAGGCAGCGCAGCACGACGCACTCCGAGTGGATCCCGTGAGGCATCCGCGTCTCGCAGAAGCCGCTTCCGCTCGGCAGCCCGGCGAGCGGCGACGAGGGTGCCGAGAGTTCGGGCGAAGAGGCCGCAGAAACCCGACGTCATCGCCCTCAGCGGCACGATCATCGCCACGAGAGTCGAATGTATGCTCAGGTCGTCGGACTCGAGAACGCCCACCCCGTCAGAACCTTCCAATGATGAGCTGCCCAGGGCAGTCCCCCCTCGAAGTGGTCCACGACGCCCGTGCCCTTAGGTCGGGCATGTCCCCCTACAGGGGGAGTTTGGACGAAAAATAAGCAACACCCCCAAAAATATTCCAAAAAGGTTAAAAGTAGTCAACCAATCGTCCCCAGACTATTTTTGACTATTTTTGATTATTCCTCATGTGGAGGGACAGGTCCGATTTCATTAACCGTTCCCTTCAGGCTCTTGGAAGAGAAAGCCGCCTTGCCGCCGGTGCACCGCAACCCCACCGCAGCGGAGCAGACGTGCCGCCGGTGCACCGCAGGCCCACCTCAGCGGAGCAGACGAGGAGGCGACCGGCACCCGACGACTCGTCCCAGGGGCGGCGGCCTCCGCGCGCGACTGGCGTCGCCCCCGGACTCCGACAGCGGCCGCGCGCTGCTGGAAGCGCTCGACCCTGAAATCGCCCCGTTCGGAGGCCTCTTCTTCGAGTAGGGGATCGACTACTGAATTGATCTACCCCAAGATTGATTTTCCCGCCAGATCTACGGAACAGCTACGTATGCTGTCCAGCAGCTCTGCGAACGTTCGACACGTTTCTTGCACACTCGGCGGGAAAATCAATTTTGGAGTAAGCCAATTCTGTAGTCGATCCCGTACTTGACTTCTGCTGCTTTTCTCGTGGCCTGGCGCAGGCGAGGACCAGCGCGGGCGTGCCGAAGCCGCGCAGAACCCACAGGTGCAGGTGCGCGGCGCGGAGCCCGCGGCGCGCTTGCGCCCGTGCCGAGCGACGCGAGGCACTCGCTGGGAGCGCCAGCATGGAGGGCCGCGGCTCCGGGGCACAGGGCCAGGGCCCGACGCTGTGTACCCATCCCCAGACCCCCTCGCGTCGTGAAAAAATCACGACGGGAGGCTTTTCGCTATTTTCGGCCTCCGGGGGCCCTGCCCGGGCCTCGGGGCCGTCAGAAAACGACTCAGGACGAAAAACCGATCCTGGGGAAAGGGTCCAGACCTCTGGGGGTCGACGTTGTGAAAAAATCGCAACGTCGGAGGCCTGGGTTTTTGGACTGCCAGATTCCAATCTGCCTGGAGCGCCTTCCTGCTTCAGCGATCGAGTGGCTTCTTCACCTTCTCCGTCCTCCTTCGGGGCGAACGGAACCCGGTCTACTCTCAACGCCTTCCTACCTCATGCTTCTACCTACGTACTTCTTCCGGCCGATGGGCAAGTGCGGGGCTCCTTCCTCGGGGGCGGTCCTGGCACGGAGAAAACAAAAGGGCACGTCCGAAGGCATCCGGCAACAGGGCCGTGCAGGGGCGCCCTCCCCCCAGGAGCCTGCAGCAGGGAAGCTCCCCTTCCCCGCCGCCCCCCTGCCCGCCGCTCTCGCCCGCCGCGCCCTCCCTCCTCCTCCGCGGCCTCGCGCCCCCTCGAAGAAAAACAGAACGCCATAGACCTAAGAACTTGTGGCGCTCGCCGCCCCCGAAGGGGGGTGGGGCTTCCCCTCCCTCGGCGCGCCGCTCTCGCCCCCCCCCCGCAGCCCGCCCCCGTTCGTCACGCACTTGCGCTGTTTGACTTTCCCCTCCTCTCTGATGGGCCCGTTCTCCACCACCACCAGCTACCATGCGTAGGAGAAGGAGGAGGAGGAGGAGGACCTCCTCATCCTCCCCTCTCCCCCGTCCTACATATGGTAGTGGTGGTGGAAAGTTTGCCCATCATCCTCCCTCCGTCCCCGCGCTGCCCTTTTCCTCTCGCGGGAGATGGGGGGTCGAGGGGCGGGCGAAGGAGTCGAGGGGGGGGGACATGGAGAGATATGCACAACCTTAAAGTTAAATCGGGCTTGTCCCTCTACAGGGGAATATTGAAAAATAGTCAGAAAGTAGTCTGGGGACGATTGTTCCCCAATCAGAGTTTGCTTCTGTAGGGGTCCTAGCGGATATAAAGCTGAGGTGAGGTCGGCGGCCGGTTTCGGTGGCCGGGGCCGGGTGCCCGGGTGCCCCGGGGTGCCCGGGTGGCCGATTTCGGTGGCCGGGCCCGGGTGCCCGGGGGTGCCCAATAGCCCAGTAGCCTTATAGCCCTATAGCCCTATAGCCCTATAGCCGCATAGCCCTATAGCCCTGTAGCCCTATAGCCTTATATCCCTATAGCCCTAATAGCCTTATATCCCTATAGCCCCATAGCCCATATAGCTCTATAGCCCCATAGCCCTATAGCCCCGTGGCCCTATAGGTCACAGTCCTATAGCCACCGCCCTATAGCCCGATAGCGGTATAGCCCAATAGCCCTATAGCCCTATAGCCCTATAGCCCTAACAAAAATCTGATTGGGGTTTTTCTCCGGTATCATTTGACTATTTTTGGTTATTTTTGGAGCATTTCGGGTGTACTTTTCATTTTTCGTCCAAATCCGCCTGTAGGGGGACATGCCCGACCTAAAATTCAAGGGGTCACGGGAAACAGCAGAATGGAACTACCATCGGGATGAAGCAGTTCGCGCGGAGACAGGGATTCCAGATTTGGCCACGGTCGTTTTCGGGGCACAACGACATTACGAGACGCTGGCTGACTGCAAACCCGCGATGGGGAATACGTGGGGATTGGGCAGGAACAGGAGGAGGAAGAGGAGGAGGAGGAGGAGAAGGAGGAGGAGAGAAAGAACATGATGAGGATAACGAGGACGAGGAAGAGGAAGAAAAGAAGGAGGAGGAGGAGAAAGAGGAAGAGGAAGGAGGACGGAGGTGGAGGAACAGAAACACGCAGGCGCAAAGCATAGGGATGGTGAGGGGGATGATAATGCTAATGATGACGGGGGGTGATGATGATGATGATGATGACGATGATGATGATGATGATGATGATGCTGATGATGATGATGATGATGATGATGATGATGATGATGGTGGTGGTGGTGGTGATGATGATGATGGTGCTCTTGATGATGATGATGATGATGTTGATGCTGCTGATGATGATGATAGTGGTGATGGCAATGGCGATGGTGGTGGTGATGGTGATGGTGATGATGATGCTGATGGTGAGGATGGTGATGCGGATGAGGATGAGGATGATGATGATGATGATGATGATGATGATGATGGTGGCAACCATGATGATGCTGCTGATGATGATGATACCGAGGATGACTATGATGATCATGGTGGTGGTGGTGATGACGATGATAATGATGATGGTGCTGACGATGATGATTATGATGATGATGAACATGTTGATGATAATGCTGCTGGTGATTCTGACGCTGATGCTGATACTGATGATCATGATTATGAAGAAGATGGTGCTGATGCTGATGTTGATGGCTATGATTATGATGATGCTGATGATGATGCCGATGACGATGACGACAATGATGACGATGCTGATGATGATGATGATGATGATGATGAATCCGATAATGCTGATGCTGATGCTGATGCTGATGATCATGCTGATGATGGCGATGATGATGAGGCTGACGATGCTGATGACACATATGATGACAGTATGATGATGGTGCTGATGCTGGTGCTGATGCTGGTGATGAGGATGAGGATGAGGATGAAGATGGTGATACTGCTGGTGATGATGACGGTGATGATGCTGACGACGATGGTGATGATGCTGGTGATGATGATGATGAGAATACCGAGGATGAATCTGAGGATGCTGATCGTGATAATGATGTTGATAATGATGATGATGATGATGATGCTGATGATGATGATGACGGTGGTGATGAGGATGCTGAGGATGGTGATGACGATGATGATGATGATGATGATGATGATCATGATGATGCTGATGATGATTGTATGAGGATGATGATGATGATACGATGCTGATGCAGATGCTACTGATGATGATAATGCTGATGAGGATGATGCTGATGCTGACGCTGATGCTGATGCTGACGATGATGATGATGATGATGATGATGATGATGATGATGATGATGATGATGATGATGCTGATGCTGATGCTGATGCTGATGCTGATGATGATGATGATGATGATGATGATGATGATGATGATGATGATGATGATGATGGTGGTGGTGGTGATGATGATGATGATAATGATGATGTAGCTGATGACGATGAGGTAGAGGAGGAGGAGGAGAAGGAGGAGGAGGAGGAAGGCAACGACGACAAGAAGTACACATGATGACGGAAGGGGGAGGAGGAGGAGGAGGAGGAGGAGCAAAATGATGAGAAGACCGAGGAAGAAGAGGAGGATAGCAATCAAGAGGATGATCGTCCTTCTCGTCTTGCTTGTCGTCGTCCTTGTCCTCCTCTCCCTTCAGGGGAAGGGGAAGGCGAGGACGACAAGGGAGGGTGTGCGAGGGCGAAAGAAAAGGGGCGAAAGAGACGGGGATGCGGGGGGGGAGGCAGGGGCGGGTTGAGAAGGCGAGGGGAGGAAGGAGTGGAGGGAATGGCGACGGGATGATGCGGACTGGCTAAAGAGGGGAGCGTCTCATCGCATTCCACGTGGGTGGAGGAGGAGGATACGAAGGAGGAGGGAAATGCGAGAGGGTCGTCGCAGTGAGGGTCGTGTCGGCCTTGGCTGAGGACGCCGCACAGTTGGCGAAGGAGATCGCGCAGCACGACGCCGACATCGCCGCCTGGGATGGTGATAAGAAGGCTTCGCGGGGGGGGGGGGGAAGGGGGGGGTGGTGCAGGCGCACGAGGTAGAAGTGGAGGGTGGACGTTACACTTGGCGCTTCGCGTATCCCCACCAGCCCTTCCAAAACTATTTCCGGGGAAATTGTCTTGATCAGGGAAGTGGACGGAGCATGCAGGGGCAGTGGAACAGAGAGCTGAGGAAGCGGGTCAAATCGATTTCAAGCAAGACCAGCCTGAACAGAAACATGAGAGGGGCGGAGGACAAGGACGAGGCGGGAGGAGGAAGAGGAAGAGGAGGATGAGGAAAATGAGGAGGAGGAGGACGAGGAAGGATGAGGGAGAAAAGGAGGATGAAGAGGAGGAGGAGGCGGAGGAGGAGGAGGAGGAGGAGGAGGAAGAGGAGAAATAAGAAGGCGAGCACAAGCAATAGCAGTTTGATGGAGCACGTTCTCGCTCAACTCCTGATGGCCCCCAGGGAGGAGGAGAAGGAGGGGGAAGAGGAGGAGGAGGAGAACCACGAGGAGCAGGACGAGGAGGAGGAGGAGGAGGAGGAGGAGGAGAGGAGGAGGAAGAAGATGACAAGGGTATAACGAGGAGGAGGTGGGGGAAGCGAAGGAGGAAGGGGGGGGGGGCGGATCAGGGCCGCGCCTTCCTCGGACTCGAGGGAGGGGGCTTGGGGAGGGGGAAGCACCTCGCGGGCCGAGGAACCCCACGGGGTCGGCGGCTCTTCGGCGCGACGCTCCCGGCGTGCGGCCGCGGCCTACGTGCGCGGACCACCGGAGTGCCGATTTGCGGGGCCGCCCCCGCGCAGCGGGGCACGCCCTGCCCGTCCTGTGCGTGCCCAGCGCCTCGAAGAAGGAAGCCCAGCCTCTTCCTCCTCCTCCTCCGCCTCCTCCTCCTCTCCTCCTCGTATTCCTCCTCTCTTCTCCTCCTCCTCCCCTCCTCCCTCCCCTCCTCCCCATCCTCCTCCTCCTTCTCCTCCTCCTCCTCCTCCTCGTCCTCCTCCTCCTCCTTCCCCTCCTCCTCCTCCTCCTATTCCTCCTCCTCCTTCTCCTCCTCCTCCTCCTTCCCCTCCTCCTCCAGTTGGTTTTCCAGCATATGCGATCGAACCATGTAATGGCTTGAGCCATAATTATTACAGACATTCAAATACACATTCAAACATCTCTGATGGTTCTGAAGCCTCTTACCCCGAACTCAGGAAACCATATACAATCCAACTCCGATGCCTGTCCTTTACAGAACCGAAAATCAACTAGCGGAGCGTGGAGCGATCCACGGCCTTTGGGCTTGAAACCAATACTGCTTTGAATATACAGCTAGGCTTAAAGCTTAGCTTACAGAAAGACGTGCAACAATGCTTTTCTATCATACAGCTGGCTTTCTAAGAACCGTGAAACCGATTTCCAGGACGACGAACTCCAGAACAACTCTAGAACTAACAATTCCAAAGACATCTGAAGATCAAAACTCGAGGATAGAGGAAGCTGGAGGCGAGAGGAGGAGAAGGAGCAGGCACCTCACATTTCTTGTTTTCAGTACATGAAACTCATGTCTTAATATCCACAACAGCAACGCTCGTTGTAGTACTTCGGGAGCCTCAGCTACTCCTTGATGTTCTCGATATCCTTCTCGCTGGCCTCTGGCTGGAGGCTCGATCTCTTGTGGCGCACGGCCTGGTCCTTCAACAAGACCATCTTGATCTTGCCGGTCGTACAGTATGTCATGAGCTGGTCGTACCAGCCCTCCTTGGTCAATCCGTCCGCCAGCATCGTCCTCGTGGGTACGTGTAGAACAGAGCGGATACGATGATGTACACGGTCCTCTCTGAGCGCCATGATCGCAACGCGTTGGCTCTTATCTGATGGTATGCCACGGCCACCAGTAATCAACTCAAAGAGGTCCATACAGTCCGTCATAGAATCGTGGGAGATTATCGTGATATCGCGCTGTTTGAGGTCGAGCATGTCGTGAGCCGTAATCACCTTCCGTTGAGGAAGAACCTGTTGGCAGAATAGCTCCGTGATGCGTGCCGCAACCAGTTGGCCCATCTGTGTAAAACCGATTGCCGATAAGGTCTCTGCATGCGATGTCGAATGAGATACTCTTGAGGCCTTCCGAGCACTGAAGAATAAGGCGTGCGCATATCCACCAACTCTCGCGAGGTCCTGGCCGGTAATCCACTCGGGCGTGTCGTTCTTCAGGCTGTCGTGCATCATCATCACAAACTTGCCCTCGTATGGATAAACACTCTTCTTGCTAGCATGTCCACAGTCGTGAATACTGCAAAGACGCACTGGGAACTCCATCTGGTGGTAGTGCAACCCATTCATCTCCTTCGTCTTCTTTGCCCTGGCAAGGACTCGATTCGCCTGCTTCAGGTGCTGAGTCTGTGGGCACACCATCTCCGATTGAAGAGCCACGACGTCGTGTGCAATGTCGATACGCGTAAGGCACAGCCACAGTAAACTACATACCAGCGGCCTGAACTGGTGGTGCTCGTGCTCGTCCAGCTCCTGGAAATCCTTCTTCATGTTGAACGCGTTCGTGAACCTGGCCTCTGGCAATTTCTCGAGGTAGTGCTGCTGGTGAATCAGCAGGTGGCCTGGCGCTAGCATCTCGTGCTTCATACCCAGGTACACGAATGGCAAGCTAGTCCTCTTGGGGCTGCCAAACTTCTGTCCAAGCTTCTGTGCTATATAATCGAGAAACTTCTTCGTGGCTGCAAGAAGTAAATCGTCAACATGAATAATACACAGAGAAACCACCTTCCAGCCATCATTGATCATCAGGAAACACTCGTCATGCGTGCTCATCCTGTAGCCGATGTCCAGCTTGAGGTAGTGAAGCAAAGCCAGCTGCCACAACAAAGGAGCATCCACTAATCCATATAGAGCCTTGAGACACTTCAGGATGAAGAGCGGGATGTCGCCATCGATCACAACGATGTTGCTCCGTGGAATGCTTCTCCAATGTCTCCAAAAGTTCGCTGGTGGGCGAAACCATACTTGGCGTGCCTCCTTCACCTCATGACCAAGCTCCTTGGCCTTGGAAACAACCTCTGAGAACTTCAGTCCCTGGAGGAAGGCAGTCGAGATGTCGAAACTCTCCATGGTCAGCTCGAACTGGACGGCCAATGAGCAAAGCAGCCTATGGCTGAGACGTGATGCTGTCGATGAGTGGCGACTTACTGAGTTTTTCTGTCGATCCAAGAAACCACGACCACAGCATCTGGACTTGACGATGCGCTTCTGACGACTCTTCCACTTGCGAACCCATATACCATCTACCACGTTCGTCGCGTTCGCCGATAGGTCGATCTCGAAGACGTCGTGGCTGTACAAAGATACTGCCTCCTCGTAGTCGCCGATCTCAACTGCATCCCAGTTGTCGATCACCTCTTGTGGTGTGAGCAGATCATCTGATGAAACTGAAAAGCATTGGTCCTCTTTGATATCATAGTAGAAACACATGGGCCTGGTCACTGGCCCCGATAGAACCGCGAAAGCATCTTCGGCACTCCATGGTAGTTCACCTCGTTCAGCTTGCTGACTGAAATGTAGAATCTGTTCTGCATCTGCAATGGCGTGAGCGAAATAGTCCTCATCATAGCGTGGAGTAAAGCTTCCATCTGCCAGACGCCGAAGAGGTTTGGACGACTGATGCTCTGCATGTTGGGCGCCATGCCATACCTGATAACTGTGCAGCTCAAGCAGCTCCTGTTTGTCTAACTCGATCGTGTCGCCTTCGGTCGGGCCGTAGTCGATGGTCTCCTCGTTGTCGACCGGCTCGACAATAGGTAAGATTGGCTCCGCACTTGCAGTTGCTGGCGGCCCAGAGCTCCTTGATGATTGCGTCGGGCGATCGTTTGCCGGGCTTGCTGAAGCATCTCGTTTTTGAGGAGGAGCCCTTGGCGCGATCGGTGATACTGGTGGTTTATGCCGAAGTGTTTCTTGTCGCACTTGTCGATCATGCTGCCCTTCATGTTCGCGTGGATCTTTAGCAGGTCCGTAGTCTCTTGTTCGAGACCGTTCTAACTCTGACGTAGTAGGCGTTGGTCCTTCGTTCTCCATTCCTGGCATAGGTGGTGCATTCGGCAATGGCGAGGCAGCTCCCGACTTCGCTTGTCCATAGTCCACCGTAGCCTCAGGACTCTCTAGGTCCACTCCAAACGGCACTCCATGAAGATCCAGTGGAGGCGTCGTCGCAGGTGCCGGTGTCGGCGGAACAGAACCTGGCACAGGCTTGTCATACCATGGCGCTGGTGATCCAGGTGCGCCTTTTGGCGATGAAGTGACTGAAACCCTTCCTGGCGAGGTCTTTGGTGGAGGTGACGCTGGAGGCGGAAGCGGTGGACTCATAAGTCGGGATCTTGAACGATCTGCCGTATTTGGTGAACGTACGGGTGAATCTGGTATCTTGCCGATGTCCGTATTTGCTCGATCATCTGGATCTATTTCTCCTGGACCAGGAGGTGGCGTGTATCTCGAACCTCGCTGGTGAAGCGACAGGAGGTACAGGAACAAATTCAGCTGCATGGACTTTGGGTACTGTCACTGATCCTGCTCCTCCTGAAGGAGGCGGCGGTGGCTGCAGTACGCCAGCCGCGACCTCTGGTAAAGTACATGCCGAGACATCCAGCGTGACGTCGTCAGGAGAGACTGATACTCGCCTGACTGGTGAAGGTGTCTTCGGCTCGCGTGGAAATAGTACCACTGGCTGTGGTATCTGCTTGGGTACTGGAGCTTGTTGAACTTGATCCGGTACCGGTCGACGTTCGACGGGTGGCGCCTTGATTGGAACTGGAGGCTGCGGAGGAAGTGGCTGCTGTCCGCCAAGTCCTGGAGGAGCTCCAGGGCCTCCTGTCTGTCGTTGATTGTTGTCCTCCTCGTCTGCTTCTAGCCATGAGCCACCAAACGACGCCCATGGCGATGCTATCCATGGAATAGGCGAAGGACCTCCAACACCACTGAGATCCACCTCTGGAGTATCGTCGATATCGTTGTCGTCCGGCTTAC